TGTAAAGCATCAAAAAAGCGTTTTCAGAAAAGTTTCTGCTCCTCTACCCAATTGTATATTAACTTATGGATGCAGAAAAACAAAAGGACGGACAAACGGACAAAACTTTCTGCCGAGTTACAGTGTCCTAATTTATTAATAAGATATAAATACACCGACAGAATGACTCAATGGCAAACAGATGAAATGTTTGATAAACTTACATGAGTGTATGTGTATAAAATTCACAGCGCCATTGACAAAATGACAAGATATATTTGTTGCTCGTACAATACTACCTAATGTAGTAATTCAAATGATTACATAAAACATGCGCGCTTGAATATAGAACGAGGCACATTTCTGTGTGTTTTGTTGGTAAATGTACATATATATTTTTGGCGCACACTTGAAGCATTACTGACTCATTATATTCCTGTCAATTTCATCTTTAAGAAATATTAGTACAATACAAATCTATAATTTAAAAGGTAATTGTCTTAACTTAATTAATATCATTTTGCTTATACAAATTCATTACATTGCTCTTGCGTGCAAGAGATGTTACTATTTTCAGATTTTAATCAACTATATACATGTATAACCACTGACTTTACTTCAACTACATATTCATCTTCCGAAGACTTCCTTATTCTACCAGTTCTAGCAAAATTTTTCAACAATCGTATTACTTGGAGCATACTTGTGTTTTCATATTTTATATACATATAAAATGAATAAGGTAGGGGAATAAAAGAAGATCAGGCAATTTCCGAGATTTAGAAATCAAAGGCTTACCGTTATGGAGGTCAAAGCAATTCTCGTTTTTGACGTTATACCTTCACACTTTCATTAAACTTTGACGTCATACCCTGACGTCAAAAACGTGTCAATAAACTAGACACTAGCAATTATGATTCAGAATATGATAGTTTTATATTGGCAAAAGTTTTAAAAAGATAGAAAAGAGTTGAGAAGAGTAATATTATTGCTTAAATTTCAACAATCAGGAAAAGTAGTCATATAGTATTAGTATAACCAAAATGGAAATTGAGATATAAGCAATAAATAAAGGCAAAGCCGTTGACGGCCCTATAGCCATTGCACACAATTAATGATGAACCAAATCAACGCTAGTGTTAGCTTATCAAAGATCTGCTTCTTTTTGGTATTATATAACACTAAAAGTTTGACAAATGTCTAAGTTATACCAAATTTTAAATAAATACCAAAATTAAAATACGTTATTGTATTTATTAATATTGAAGAAACAAAAAAGGCACAATGAAAACGGAATTGTGTCATCATTCTCAGGAATGATCTTAAAACGTTGTATTTTAGACGTCAATAAGAAGTTACAAAATTTAATTTTTTCTAACAAGTTTTTCAATTTATTTTAAGCAAACCAAATTAACTCTGGGTTTAATAAAATCTGTATGACTCACGGTATGTTACTCACACAGTGCCTGATACAGTTTTTTCCGGATTCATGCTGGACGTGTGTATTTATTGTATGAGTTTTTACATTAATTATTTTGTAAATTTACATCAAAGTAATTGTGCGCGTTTTATCTTTTCCACCTTGTATATGTAGTAACACAGGAATGTGATAATAACGCAGAAATTGTTATATCGTATCGGATATTAAACAACGACTTTGTGATCTTACATTTCTTTATTTGTACCTTACCTTAATCTAAGTGTCTGCAACCTCGACTCCATTCAACTTGGCTGTCTAGTTTCTATATCATATCTCAAAAACTCATTTAAAAATACGTACTTGACGTTATAAATTATAGAAAGTGCAATTAATTATCTTGAAATATTGACGAAACATTATGTACTTTCATTTATATTTTTGTGAAATAACCTACAATTAATCTTGGAATGTTTGACATTCCTATGCATGAATTATGCAGATAGAATGAATAATGCTGACAGAATCCGGCTCTAACATCCGGGTGCGTCATATACAAATTATGACTAATGAGCCTTAAATGTCATAATTCTACAATAACATATTAAATACTGGTATTTCCTGTGCACAGTGTCCTGTATTTTGACGCACAGGGTTTCATTATATAATAATCAAGGACCTACTAATTACTAATCATCGAGTCCGACAAATTCTCACGCATTAAAGCTGCAACTAATCAAACGGAAATGACAGAAGTTCCTGTATTCGTTTCTTAAACGTTTAAATGTTTAATATTATCATGCTTAAACCAAGCGCCTTCCATAGTTGTATTTTTGACAAAGTTGTATTTTTTACATATAGTTGTATTTTGACAGAAAAGCACACTGCTGTATTGAACCTGCAATTTGCAAAGTTATGATTTTTTTTAAACGAAACGTTATTTTTGATTGGTCGGCACACACCATATTTCCCGTAAGGCTTATAATAGACTTTCAAATAATCCAGTATATTTCAAGCATAGTGCTAAAACACCATATACTACACTTTACAATGGGAATATGACACAGTATTGTAAGTACACGAAAATAGGTGAAGATAGATTTATATTCGGTTTTGTTTTAATATATTCCTACAAAAGTTTGGTAACTCAATTTATGTTTAAAACCCGTGTTTTAAATTTCTGCTAACAAAGTCTCGGTCAATTTAAAGCTTTACCTAATTTTACTGGAAATTTGGTTTAAAAAAAGGAGCAAATTTAAGAAATTAATCATTTCAAGATCCATTAACTGTTTCTCTCTGTCATTCATTATCCAATCTATGGCCTTTTTTGTTGAGAATAGATATATATAAAAAAAGACTCTATTATGAGGTTGACTAACCGCCGAAATATTACAAACATTTTTTGAACATTTGTTAAAATCATCGTACAATCAATCAAACAAACATTATATTTGTCTTGAATTTTGAATTTATTTTCTAAAGTTTGACTTGTACCAGGTATCTGGCTACAAATATGGTTTCTCCATCTGTTTACCCACCGAAATATGATCCTGTATTAATTCTCCCATGTCATTTTGAAATAACATGTTAGTATGAAAATCTAAAATGGGAAATACATACATACACATTAAGGAAAGAGGAATTAATTTGTTTTTTTTTAAAATGCATTCTTAATATTTCTTAATATTATGTACATAAACACATATGAGGATGAAATTGTATTTTTTAAGGAGAAGACTTTTTAAGTTCACTCTATAATCTATATAACACACACGCGCGCGCGCACACACACGCACGCACGCACGAACACACACAGAGGTCAGGTAAATCTGAGCACGCACTCGCACACACACACACACACACACACGCACACGCACACGCACACGCACACGCACACGCACACACACACACACACACACACAGGTGAAAGAATTTTACGTTATTCACTGTGGCTATTATTCTATGTTCTGAGAAGACAAAAACATGCAATTATTGAAAAGGAATTAAAAAACAGCAGAAAAAATACATTTGCTTTTAATCAGCTATAATTATTATAAGATGATCACTTTTAAGCAAAACTGAATAATTTATTATAGAGCTTAGCATTGTGAATTGGTCAACAAATGGCTTATTTTTCTATAGATATTTCAAATATTGATAAAAAAAACAATATAAATGTATGATTTGGATAATCTTGTTCAATATTTCTTGAAAAAGAAATGTTGATCAAGTTCTAAGTATTTTAACATGAACAATTTAAATGATGGATAATAATAATTTGCTCTAGAACAATTGACTTAAATACTATAACCAGAATTATTTAAGGTATCACAAATCGTTTATTATGAACAAATTCACTTTAATAAAACATATTATAGAGCCAAAATAATTGTGATATGTGACGGCTTTTGTAATCAGTGTAGCAATACCACGTGACATTGACATCATTTTCTGCATCATTTCCAAGACAAATGTCGCTCGATTCGGAAAAGAAAATAGCCGTAAATATTTTATTTCTGTTCCCATTTCTTTGGGATATGCACCAGTCTACGGGGAAAAATATAAGCTTTCCACAGAATATTGGATCTTCGTCAAACTTGAAAAAATATGTTTAGATCAATATATGTTTAATTATGATGTATTCAACAAAAAGACATGTAGATATACTGTGTCTGTGTACATTGAATTTTAATCTACAATAACTGCTTGATATAAAATTTCACATGTCATAGTACAACTTTATTCAAAAGACGTGCGCTTTCAAAGTTTGCGGAAAACAAACTTTTAACTGCACCAAACAAGGGAAGATCATTAAACAAGAACATGACCACTTGTTCAAGGGGAAATTCACTGATTTTAAGTCAGGTACATACCTCTATCTGTTAAAAAAATCTGTATAAACCTAAGTTATCGTACAGTTTTTATAGGCATAATCACGGCTTTAGTTTTCATTTAAGCTGTACTATAAGTTATGATTTGTTAACTGACAATATTTTGTGCAAGCAATTTTAAGTCTATCAAAAAGCTTATAAAGCGGCTAAATGTATGTTGTTTTCTTTATTTCCATTTGATATGTATGTAAGTTAATTTATTCTAAATCTTAATAAATGGTATTTATTTTCGTTATCACTATAGAGTCTAATAGGAATAAATTAAATGTTATAAAGTTCAAATAAGAAAAAGGTAAATTTTAAAAAAGGAGTATGACCGAAAGAAGCTATTTAAAATAATATTTATTCTTATAAGTGTCTTACCAACATGGTCATCGTAGGCCCTACTCGCCAAGTATTAAGATGGTTAAATAAATGCTATTTATTACTAGTCCCGTACTTGTTCTGTTTGGAAAATCTTGACTTTTTTATTTTACCCGAACTTGCAATACAGAGGCTACGACTTTGAAAATGAGATGGTTCGATAACACGCTAGTGTAAATGCCATGTTACAAAATATGATTCCATGTTACAAAATAGGACATTTATGTGATATTAATGAATTGCAAATTGCTTTGAAATGCCAAATGCAAAAGGAAATGGCATTTACATATGTATTTTTAGTATATCGAGTTATATGAAACCCTAACTTTAGTTGGATCGTGAGGCAACGTAACAAGTTACTCCGCAGATTCATTCGCCGTTTTGGTGAAGATAGACGTTTGCTTTATATAATATGCTGGAGCTTTAAATATGAATTGCGTGTTGTGAAATTCAACATTCATATAAAGTCATCATGGCTTTGAAGAGTTTTTTCATCTTTATTTTTGTCAACTATTTGAATACGGGTAAGTTGTTTGTTATATTAGTAGAATAGTTTTGAGTTTAGCATGGTACAACTTGTAATTTATATTCAGCTGATTGTTCATAAATAACAATTCTTAACCTTTTGCTTTCCTACGACCAGTTTTCATTTATTCCTTTATGTTTATATTTACAAGTAGATATTCAGCGTCTTAAGAATGAGTATTTCTGCCTATTAAGCATTTCACAACGTTACTCCCACCATGGCGTTTGTAACGTGCTTGATGATTTAGAAGCCAACATATAAAATCCAGCATTATAATATAATGTCTGAATAGGTCAATATCAATATTTATAAGAACAGAACAGAACAGAAATTTTATTATAGACTTGTACAAAGTACATCATCTACAATACATTATATTCACATATATTTTAGCTGCATGAAAATTTACAAACAAAATCTGGTTATCACATTTTACGTATTCAATAGTTTCATAATTATAATATATAAGTAGATAAACTAATAGACAAACAAACAACATGCATATAGCTATGCCAAAAAAGATGTGCATTTACTGTATACTTTTATAAATAAATAAGATTAATTATGAATATTATTGGAATTGAAACAAATCATTTGAACAATGATTCAATTCAGACATTATTAGTTAAAAGTGTATACCTAATGGAAAGAGCTTCTTTAACAAATTTTGATAAACGTACAAGCTCATTTTTATTTTTTGAGTTTAACAGTTGAGTAAATTTGTATACTGATGGATTTCTGTAATAGTAAGTTTTTAAGTGTTGTTTTCTTATAACATCATAGCATTTACATAAACAAATAAAATGGTATTCATCTTCAATATCTAAATTATTGCAACACAAACAATATCTTTCTTCGCGAGGAATCCTATTTCTACTAAATCTACCAGTTTGAATTCTAAGCGGAAGACCATTCATTTTTAATCTACAAAAATAAAATCTAAAACACCTAGGTAGTATATTTAGATAACATTCATATTCAAAACAAGATTTAACATTTCTATATATACATAAAACAGGACTTTTTTCAAGATTACTGAACCATTCTTGCTTAAAGGAATCAATAAGGCGACATTTAAATTCTGATAAAAACATAACCTTGTCCATATTGTTACAATTATCAAAAATGTATAAAAATCCATAGTTATTTAAAATATTTTTAACATTAGAAACCCAATTTGTCTGCCCTTTATTGATATCTTCAAGTGCTTGAGTATGAACTGTATAATATTATATTGTCTGTATTTACAAGTTTTAACCAGAACTTAATAATTCTCACATATCTATGAATATATAATGGATATCTTCCAAGTTCACCATATACACTAGTATTACATGTATTTAATTTAACTTTTAACAACCTTTTACAAAATTTTAAATGTATTTTTTCAATTTCCTTAGATTTTGAATAACCCCAAGTTTCACATGAATAATTTAATATTGGTGAAACGAAGGCATCAAACAACTGACATAATGTTTTTGAACTAAGATCAAACTCTTTACATTGACATAACAGTATGTTCATAAATTTTAAAGCTTTTCCAATTAAATGTTCTTGATTTTTAGAATAAATTTACCAGTATAGTTGAAAATAGTACCTAAAGAATTGAAATCATTAACAGCTTCGATTTCTTGGCCATCATAGGTCCAATGCTCAGATGCTAAAAGTGCACCCCTTTTACGAAATACCATAATTTTTGTTTTTGAAGTATTAACTTTAAGGCCCCAATTATTACAATAAGACAATAAGAGATTCGAAAGAGTTTGTATTTCATCTGGGCTTTTACCAATGATAGCAATATCGTCAGCAAATAATAAAAGAATTAAAACTATGTCATCTAAAGTAAGACCTGCTTCAGTTTCAAACTGAAGATATAATTCAAGCTCTTCAACAAAAAGAGAGAAAAAAAAGATGGGACATAACTTCCCCTTGAGGAAGACCTACAGCATACAGAAAATAATCAGAATAGCTAGAACTTGACTTAACACAATATTTTACTTTTTGATACATAACACGTATTGTACTGAGTAACTTCCCTTGAATTCCGCAATTGTATAATTTAAACCAAAGGCCATTTCTATAAACAGAGTCAAAGCATTTAATCATATCGACAATATAACATACAATCTTTTATTATCATTTACATATTTCTGAACCAATGAATTAAGAATAAAAATAGCGTCTACAGTGGATCTTCCCTTACAAAATCCGAACTGTGCATCCGAAATAGTGTTGTGTTCATTACAAAATTTTTCGATTCGTCTATTTATAACTGTTGTAAATAATTTTGACAAGCAACTTACAAGTGTAATGCCTCGGTAATTATTAACGTCATTTTGATTCCCTTTTTTATGAAGAGGGATAATTATACCTTCGGTCCATTTATCAGGAAAACAGCCTGAGTTTAAAATACAATTAAATAAGTCACAAATATGAGACGATATAATATCAATGCATTCTATAAAATATTAGTTCAATAAACAATCATTACCATAGGCTTTAATACGCTTCAGTGATTTAACAGCCGATAAAATTTCAGAACAAGAAATAGGCTCGTCTAATTCAGGAAAAATTTCATTAGTAATTGTAAAATCATTATTTTCACAAAACTCTCAGCTTCAGCGTTGTAACACTAAAAAAATCATTACTTAAAGTAGAAAATTATTCTCTAAATTGTTCTAAAGTTATTTTATTATCAGCCTTTCCCGTTTGTTTTTTAAAATATTTCCAAAAATCTTTCGGCTTACTCTTTTTCAAATTTTCAATTTCTTTCATTTTCTTTCTATAGAACATATTTTTCTTCATAGTAATAACAGATTTATAAGCAGATTTATGATTACACAAAATTATTCTATTTTCATCCGTTTTATAACAATTAAATGATTTTAACGATTCTAAATATACGTTTCGTGCATCGATACAATCCTAATCAAACCATTCTGTGTGCTTCATATATTTTTCTGCATTATAGCATAAAATCGGCTATTTTTCCCTCTTTTGCCCATGTTATAACGGGACCAAAACCATATGTTAACATAGTCACGCGCTCTTGTTATAGCCCGGTTTCACCTATGCGCAATACATACAGGGCCCAGAAAACAAACAAACAAAAAATGACGATTTGGCCTATTTGCCAAAGAGTCATGCGCTCTTGTTATATTGAAATTTATTGATTCGAGGGCCTCAGTCGCATATTCAAGTAACTATGCCGGAAAAACGGTGTATAGACATCGGTGCTAATCTTGGTTGTCGCCCTTTCTAAGAAACGGACAGTTGCCAATGTAAACAAATACAGTAGAATCTACCTGTCATTCAGTTTAACACTCTGATTAACTTACAAAACTAGATAACACAAAATTAATATGAGAAAATGTTTTTTATTTATGTTAATGTTGATAAATACTCTTTATATTTCTTTGAGAGAAAAATGCTTAGTGCCTGACTTTTTTATAAACTTGTTTGCTTGAAAAAAAAAATCGATTGTGATGTCACTGATCGTTTTTCTACCGTCAATCTGAAATCATTCGAAGAATTTCTGAGGGTCATGTTTTGTCTTGGGTAGAGTAATGTAACGTTTTTTTTCTTGAGATAATAAATCTCCAAAGGCCAAGCTTTGTTAAATCAATTAAAATTCAAAATTTCGTTCGGTTCCGAGAATTTTCCAAGTTGTTGGCCCCGGAAAAATGAAACGCATACGTAAAACATAGAATTGGATAAATACCGTCCAAGCACAAGAATTTAATGTAATTGTGTTTTTGTATAAACTATACATCACGAATCTGTTTGAAAATTTTATGCTATAATAGCGTCAACGCACGTTTATTTCGTGTTATAAAGTCTGCAGAGTTATAACACGGAAAAACGTGCGTTAACCCTATATCATAATAATGAACATTTCTATATTGCAAATTATAAGAAAAAGAGGATCTGCAACACTCCGCATTGTAATTGTAAATTTAATCAATGCATCATTAACAGACTGTCTACTATAACAATCTAATGTATTAACAATAGTATTAAAAACAGGTAAATTTTTAATTATGCCCGAACGAAATTGTTGCCTGAAATCATTGTCCCACTTAAATTTAATCTCAGAATGACCTGCGTATTATTACATACAAGTGACAAGGTCAATGGGGAATGATCACTCCATTCATTAAATGTATGTATAGTAAAATCACTGATCAATGAAAAATTGCGTTCGTTGCATAATACATAGTCTATCACAGATTAACCGTTATGAGATAAAAAAAAAGTATAAGCGGTCGTGTTCCCGATACGGCCATTGATAATACGTAAACATGATGATTTACAAAAATCTAACAGTTTAATACCATAATTGTTATGTTTACTATCTATTGTGGCCCTGCATGAGGCACTATCGGGTTCATAATCTATATCATCAATGTTTTTGTTTACTTTATCATGTAGTACACAATGAAATCATTTTTATTGCCTACCCTACTGTTAAAGTCACCAAAAAGATATATAGAACCAAGACTTTCATAAGTAAACACATCATTTTCTAATGTTTCAAATAAGTCGGTATTAAAAGTGTTATATACAGGTGAATTTTCGCCCCAAATATATACACCACACCAATATATATCTTCATCAACATTAAAAAAGTACGATCTAATTTCAACCAAATAATTGTATCAAAATGATTCTGAACAACTTGAATACCTTCTTTTAACTATTCTTTATAATAAAGCACTATTCCGCCACTGCATCTGCGCGCATTCTTATTTTGAAACTTTCAAAAAATGTTATGAGTGACATAGAAATATTACTTTGAGAATTTGTCCATGATTTATATAAGAAACAAATATCATGTTTACTTATAATATTAACAAAATCTTTATTTACTTTTTTATCTTTAGTAAGTCCGTGGACTTTGCATGAAAGTATCGAAAGTTCATCTTATAAGACTTGTAATAAATTGGCCATTCTCTAAAAGTAGAGCATTTATTTGTTCACGGAAATGGTCACCATTGT